TAAGAAACACAAAAAAGGAAGGACACGGACAGTGAGACAAAATATGTTTTATTTTGTTTAATAGAGAAGAAACCAACAACTAAGAACAAAAACTGACAACAATCGTCATTAAAGAAGGTGTTCGAAATTACGACCTTGAACCGTGATGAAGGCCTCACATCTCCGGCGCATGAAGATCTGCATCACTCATGGAAGATGCATGACGCACGATTCCTGCATCACGGTCCGAGTCGTAATTTCGAACAGCTTCTTTGGTGACGATCGCCTGTTTTTGTTTTTATTGTTTGGTGTCCGCTGCACTAAGCGTAACAAACATTATTCGCACCCTATTCGTGTCCTTCCTTTCTTGTGTCATTACTACCACGCCAGGAATACGTTTCCCACCATGCATTGCTTGTGTTTTTCCATCGTCTAGGTGTACTCTATCTGCCCTGAAAGTTTTTACCGATTTTCTAAAACACCCTGTATACGTTTTTCTTTCTTTTTGTGAGTACACCGAAGTGCTTATAACATATATACTTAAACAAAACGTTATTGATATATACTGCATCCACAAATGTTAGATTGAATTTTACAATATCTGAAGATTAAAAATCCTGTCGCTATAGATTTCGTATAATGTGATCGCAATTGAAATCAAGACTTGGTTTACTTGAATCCAAACGTTGAAATGATGCTTTTATGAATTTTTGAAATGTTGTCAACGTTGTGTATTACATTGTAAAATTAGGGAACGGAGAATAGTCCGTAAAATACTAAATATAGCGAGTAAAGGAATGTTCAGTAAATGCTGCATTTTTGTTTGCATTCGAAAGCTTTGTAGTTGTTATATTTCTCGAAAAGACAAAAACAAAATCTCTTATCCGATTGAGACTTTTCGAAAGGTGTTTCAAAATATGGTAATGAATTAACTGTCCTTCAAGCCGAAATTCCTTGAAATTATTCATTGTTAATTAAGAAAGTTGTCAACAACGTCTTTTCTCGAAGCTTTAAAAGTTTTTTACTTTTTTATTAAACACTAGCGGAAATAACCAATGCCAGTTAAGTTAGATTGAGAGAAATGCATCTAACAACAGAATCGCTGTCATCCTTCTCTAATAACGATGCAAAAAATACGATTCATAGTCATACTACATTTTTCAGTCTGATGCGATATGGAACTCTCATAAAGAATTTCGTTAGGAAAAAAAAAAGAAAACTAATTCTCTCTCATTATATCAGCAACAATCACGCGCGGTTTTTAGTGATTTTCGTCTTTCTAATCAGATGGTCGTAAAAGCTCAAGTTCCATCCAATATTTCACTTATATTCAGTTTAAGTCGATTAAATGTGGGAAAACATTGACCATAATTGATCAGAAATCAATAATGTGAACAAACGCACAAACAGACATTCTTTTTTTATATGTACAGATTTTGTAAAACTCATAAATGTTTGATTAACAGACTACGATTGAAAGCAAGCAGTAGCAACGCTATTCAGAGTAAAGCATTTTTTATCTCTGCGAGACTGTTGCCACTCGGAAAAAGGAGTGCGAAAATGAGCGCTTTTAGAGATTTAAATTAATATCTCGGCTGATTAAAGTTGTACGTAGATGGGAATAGTCGAAATGGCTTCCCACGAAATCGGGAATAATGTATTTAATGTTTGGCAATGCTATTTTTATTTCATCGTAAAACTTAAAAAATTTTTATTAACAAACTTCAGGATTTGAAAGAGAGCAGTCGCAATAATTCTCGAAATAAAGCAGATTTTCATCTCCAGTTTGCGAGCCTGTTGCCCTGTTGAAAAATGAGGGCGAAAATTATCGTTCTTCTCAGTTTTAATTAATATCTCCAATTTTAGCTACGTTTTTTGGTAAAAAAGTGGACCTTTTCCAGGATCCCAAAAGACCTTTGCCAGTTTGGTGACGATAGCTGTGGTGGTGACTGAGACAAGCATATACACATACTTCCTTCATTATACATGTAGATTATCTAACCCAAGCAAAGTTTTGCTGTCATTGATTGATTAGTCGCTGATGAAATGTTATTTTCTTGCAATGTTTCTATTAAGCGAAACTCGGTAACGGGAAATTATGTATTGATAATTAAGATGTAAATTTTTATATATTTTTGCATTTATGGATCATAATATATCTACAGATAAACCATTCTACCTATAGAATATACATTAAAAAATTAGTAGGATATTGTATTCGTTTTCCCAAGCTAATTAGAATGATATATGATGTTTTAGAAAACCAGTCCTGATTTTCTGCTAATTTTATAGGTTTTACAAGTTAAAAAAATTAATTAGTCATCCAACGAATTGTTCGGGAAAATTATCATCTACTCCGACGAAATAATTTTAAGGCTACTTGTTCGTGAGTGCTGAATCCATCTAGTTATTCAAGTTAATTTTTACTGAATTACATTAATTTATCTTATGTTTGCTGTTCAAGCTACTATTTACATTACTTCGTTAACTGGTAAGTAATTAGAAATTAAAATTATAGCCTAGGTAAAAATAGCAAACCAGTAAACACAGCAAAATAAAATGGTAAACTTTGAATTAATAAAGTAAAATCGGGCTAAGTTCTATTCAATAAGAAATAGGAGCATCTGCGTGAAAGCCGATTGAGCCGGTGACTAACATCCTGAAAGATAAGCATATAACAATAAAAACAAAAACAAGAAGTAAGTAAGAATCCTTCGGAGGATACTGTAAAGAGCAACAATTTAAAATTCAAATAATTGGATGCAATTATTAAAGTGTAGATCCGTTAAAGGGCAGCAATATAAAGTACAGTTAAAGTCTGGTGCAATTTTTAAAGTGCAATTATAATCAAAGTGCAATAATACAGTGCTGTTATAAGGTATTTCTCCCGCTTTCTTCACACTGAGCACACTGAGCGCGTAATTGAGAGGTCCGTGGTTCGACTCTCAGGGAACGCGTTGCAAATGTTTCCTTTCTCCTGCTTCCAAAAGTCCTAATGTCTCTACACTGGCGCCCGAACTAAAAAGGGTGTTGGATGATGATTCTCCACACCCAGGATTTGGCGAGTGAGTCCCCTAAAAACCCCGGTGACCCTTTAAAAGGGGGATTATATAATGTATTTCTCCCGCCTTCCTAGCATGCCTTCGTGATGTGGTGGTCTGAACGCTGGACCGGTATTCCAGAGGTCCGTGTTTGATTCCTGGCGAAGGCTTTTGCTCATTTTTCATCTTACCTGCTTCCAAAAATACCTAATGTCTTTACACTGCAATTTAAAGTGCAAGAACACTGGTGCTTAGGGCAATATCAAGATTCATACACATGAACAAATGAAGAAATTGAGGTCATGTACAACAGAAAATAATATAATAATATAGTATGCAAGTTTACAATACAGTAGCGGTTATTCTATATTTTCGTTTAGGATTGCCATGGTGCGTTTAACATTAACAGGGTCATAGATATTATAATTACATATTTTAATTGCAGGATTTTGGATATTTTTTTGATTTTCAGAGAAATTGAGAGCAATTTTACAATAGAATGCTTTTAGTTCGTCCATCTTAAATTTACTACCTGAAAAAGATTTAAGCTAAACAGCTATGGTTATCTTACCAATTTAAGAATTAGTCGCCCAGAAATTAAAAGACAAAAACTAAAGCTTTATATTTAAAATCAGCTGTTCAAAAGAGCAGAACCAATTTGAAAAAGAACAAGTATTTGCTATGATAATATTTCATTATCCATTAACGCCACGCGAGAACTTGTGCTTTTATTTAATAAACAAGACTTAATCATTAAAGCTTTGAATGAAAGCTTTGAATTACTGCGCATTTACTCAAATGGATCATCAGGTGCGCATTAGGAAAAAGATTTCCATTCAATGGCAATGCTTTCTATTTTGCCAGGAGACGAAATTTCAAAACGAAAAACAGAGTGTTTCTCAAAAATGTTCTGTAACTGAAAGTTTTCATTATAAAAAAATTCATTTCTTTCTACGCATTTGTATGAAAACTGCATCGCGCTGCTTTCTATAAATTTAGAATTAATACATTTTTGCTTTACCTGTTACTTTTGGATCACTCCGATGGAAATGGAAAAATTTTTGCTTAACTGGCATAGCTAAAATAAGTAAATTACGCTTGACGCGTAAACTTCAAGAATGCAATCATGTTTAGCTATTCGTAGAAATAATTGCTAAACTCATTACGTAAAATAAGATATTCGGATTCGTAAATTTCGTTATACTTGTTAGACTAGTTAGAAAGCCAGTTAAATGTCAGTTAGAACAAATATTTCAGCAAAGCACTACATCTTGCAATTATCCTATTATTTCTTTTCTGTTGCAAACAAAACGAAACTGAAAATACGAGTTACAAACCGAAAGCATGAGCTAACACATAAGAGTTCCGCCGTTTTTAATCTTGGAATGTCAAACTTGTAATACATGGCAACACATTTTTCAGTTAGAATGTAACAAAGAAATGGTTGGCCAAGTAAAAAGAGTGTTAAAATCTCGTATCAAGGTGCACGAATTCTTTTTATTATAAAATGAAAAATAAAAAAATCTTAGGTAATTAATCTTATAACCATACTTAGGGTGTTTTTGAAATTTATGCACAAAGCGTCTTCAGTTGATGAATTGTATTTGCTTGAAGGCTTTCATAGTCACGAAAGTTTATTTTGTCGTGTTAATAATATTAATCTTAATCTAAACCGTATCAAAGGATTCAAAATTCTAATTTTTTAGCTTTTTCATGTTTGATTACACTTTTCCTCGATAGATGGCACTACGTTCGTTTTCGCTTTGCTCCACCGGTTGATATCCAAATAAAATACCTGTTGTTCCTCTCACTTTTGCAAAACGCTTGTGTTGCTTATGAAAAGGGAACTTTGATCGCCCTTGAAGTCAATAAAATTTTATTTAAAATCTACGTTAAAAAAAGGTTCTTTATTTATTTTAATTTTTATTTTATCAGAGTTTCACAACGCGAGACAATTAATTAGAAAATAATTCTGATGGTTTTTCGTTTTCATTACAGGCCGATGGCAAGATGGTGTATGATGTCGTCTCACGTATGGAAGACACAGAGCCGTTTTCAGAAGAGCTCACATTGGCCATGAAGCGATTGTGGGCCGATTCGGGAGTTCAAGAGTGTTTCGGTCGGTCCAATGAGTACCAGCTCAATGATAGCGCCAAATAGTAAGATAATATGTCCTTTATTGTTTTTATACTTAACCACTTATTCACTTATTTATTTTAAAGATAACACTTTGTAGTCAGATGGTATACATAAAGCCATCAGACATTCCGTGACTAAATTTTGGCTAAAGTTTATTTACCAACATCCCACAGGATTTTACAATTTTTTCCCACCGAATTTAAAAAAAAATATGTTCATCATGTTTCCGGAGAAAATAAATCATATGTAATTTTAATATAAGAATGTAAAATAATTCTTGATAGAGGAGAACGTTTTACCTTAAAGGATTAAATAAGACAAATTGTAGTAAACGAAAAATGCTTGATGCACCTTTTGATGCAACTGTGTTTATTGCTGAAGGATTTGCAGTTTTTATTAAATTTTAATAAGAATTAGACTTCTGTATGAAAGTGAAAAATATTTTAAGTAGACATTAATAAAAAAGTGTTTTGGTTCCCATATTTTAGCAGTTTAAACTGGGGATAATTATGGGAATTCTGTATTGAGTCTTAATCTTTTATTGTTGAAAAATTATTAATGATTACACAGGGTAATAAAATTGAACTTTTTGATTTTTAAATAGAAGATGGTTCGGTAGTTTTAGGTTATTCGGTACTCGCCGATCCATCGCCAAAAATAACACCCACTACTATGATTCTTACGAAAATTCGGCAACCTTAAGTAAAGTTAGGTTAATTAGTTTAATGTAAAGTTATCCGAGGGCTATCTCTATGCGGATTAATGCCTTTAGGAAGGACTTCTAATAGGAAACTATTATAGTACGTATCTACATTATACGTGGGGCAAAACACGAAAACCTTCATACAGCCAGCCCATTCGCCAGTCTTTGAACACGTCTCGAACTACCAATGTTCCACTGTTTGACAACTTTGTCTTTCCACTGCTAAGCCCGGCAACCTTAGAATCTTTCAGAATTCCTTTAAGAGATGATGGGAGGATTTTATATCGTCTTCCTGTAAATCTTTTTTGGGTGGTGGTAGGAAACTAAGGAAGGCTTCCTTTTTTTAAAGAAAAGGAAGCCTTCCTAAAAAAAAAAAAAAACTCCCCCCCCCTTTTTTTTAACAAGGCAGATAGCCCTAGTGTGCTTTGCCATAATTAAATACACCTTTTTTAAAACAAATTTAGTATTAACTTCGATCCAGAAATTACAATCTACCCAAACAGAAACACTCTCATGAAAACCACAAAATGGAGGAAGCCTGGTGTAGCTTGTCATCATTTATCTTTTTAATTATAGGAAGAATTCATATGCAAACAGAGAAAGGCTGCAAAGAATAATAATCTGTTTGATGCCATTTTCAATGTAACAACCAAATAATACCTGCCAGAAATTTAAAAATGTGAAAGTGTTCACATTTTAACAGTTTCCCTAAATGGCTCTTATAAAATTCAATGTGGTTTATCAGTCAATATTATCAGTAAAGTTTCCTCAAGTGTAAAACCGAAACATTTTATAAGACATTAGATGAATTTATATTTAGACTAACATGGGGACGTTATATAACTAATGTATATTTGAAAAGTAAAAACATATATACATAATGCAACTTTATAAAGATATTCAATGTTTTTAATTTGATATGTCATGAATTAAATGCATTTTTATTTAAATCGAGCAGATCAAAATATAAAAAATAATATTCTTCAGAACCGCATCTAGTGCTTTTCAATAGATTACTTTGTTTATCAATAATAGATAAATTTAATCTGGAGAATAAATATCTTACATTTTTCAGAATGGCATTAGGCTCGAATGAAAAGTGAAATAACACGTTTACAGTTTACGACATTTAAAGCGAATCAACGCAAAATCGTGCTTGACTTCATTGCCAAAATGAACCAACTGTTTGTTCTCGATGTATATATGTGTTCTGGGAAACCAGTAAGCACTGACATTTCTTACTGTACATTATCTCTCCGATTTGAAATCATTCATAAAGCATATCTATTGCCAGCGATATTTGAGTAAACGTAGGAGAGGAAGCAACAACAACGGCGGTAAATATGAGGAAACGTAATTTATATCGCTAAAAATCTGGATGATAGAAAATACCTGATTTTATATAGTGTTTAGCACACAATTCATTCGAAAGATTTTAAATGAATGTCATTGTATATTTGACTGTTTTTAAAATTACATTGACTGTTATTAAAAGCTACTGATATTGACGAAAATGGTTGTATTCATTGAAAATGAATCTCCGTTTAACTGCCCCAATCTCTATGCGAAGGACAGAAGAAGTCAAGCTGCTTATTAGACCCCTGACACTGACAGACATATTAGAGGCAGCTATTTTATTTAATATAAATCTAATGCATTATTTATTTCAGTATAGCGGGCAATGCTTGCATTTGATTCTGGAGTAAGAATTGCAGTTATTCGTAGCCAATAGGCTCAACATTTTCAATATATTCAATTTGAAATTTCAATAAAAGCCTTAGAAAGAAAGATTTCATAACCGGTCTATTTATTAAAAATGTTGAAGATAAATCTTTGCTATAAATCGATTTACTATTTTGAATTTAAAAAACGAATTATTATCAAAATAATAAAAAAGAATCCTTTTCTTCTTTCATATAGTAAAACTGCTGCTAATTTTGTAAGGGTAAAAACACTATATAGAGTTCTCTTTTAAATTTCATTTTGACTGAAAAAAGTGCAGTGTCCAAATTTCTTTTTTTATAAACTTCTTAAATTACAGCAGTTTTATTCTATTAGTGTGCAGAGTAGAGTTTCTACAAATTTATACCGCCAATACAAGACAATCAAAATGAGATGCAGAGCATTCGTCAATGTGAAAGGCAGTCGACAGTATTAAAAGGAAATAAATGTTCACGGAGATAGTCGTGTTCAGTCAACTGCCTAAAAGTGGCCACCGCGGCTGCACGAAGAGCATCCGGAACAAGACGGGAATTGGTGCTGAGGATATTCTAGGATTTAGTTCAGGAAGTGTGAGCAGATCCTGTACGAAAAGACCGTCTGAAGATTCTTTTAATCTATAGTTCTGAAGAATAAAAAGGCACATTTCTATTTCCTTTGAATTAAACTGCAACCTTGTTTTGCCAAAAGGTCCTCTTTCTCAGTTTCCTCAACACCATAGCGGGATGGTACCCACACTGGAAAGACACTTTACGTTGAATTCACTCAAGTAGAGATCTATACTGTTGGACGCTAGGTATTTTATTCTCCTGATTAGATAATAAAGCCTGAAGAGCGGCCATTGAATCGAAGAGGTTCATAGCCCACTCAAAGGAATTTGGCTAGTAGAAAGTTGCAGAAGAGTTACGTAGATTAATTCCAGCTCACCATGAAAATGGGTCGGGAAGTTTCCAACTGACAGATAAAGAAATGGTTCACCAAAAAAAATCAGCCCCAGCTGTTTGAGTAAAGTCGAGAAGTGAATTATCTGTATAGATATGAAGCCTTTCATTAGTAGGACAGCGATCGTGGATAGCTTCCAAACAATCACACGGAATGATTTAGGATAGCAATCTGACCGTTATATTTTCTGATGCAAGTACAGTCTTACATCAAGTCTTACATTTTCTTATATAGATTCAGTCTCATTACTTACAAATTTCAAAATATGGATTATTAAATGAAGATGTGAAACACTCATCTTACTTTAAACTTTCGCCAACTTGGAGGAAAAACAAGGAAATGAAATTTGAATAAAATAATAATATCTTTGACAGTAGGGAGGAATTTCAGGTAGATAGTTCCTGCTCTTTACTTCTACATTTTTGACTCAATCCAGTTTCAAATTGAATGTAGGTTCAGCTAGGTTTGTCTCCGTTTTTATTCTAACCATTGAGGAAGAAATAGTTTCTGCTAATAGTTTCTGTAGATAGTTTTAAATTAAAGGCGGTACAGTTGTGTTCTTAGTTAGCTATTCGGTTATAAATAAATTTTGTAATTAGAGTAATTAATCTTTTTAGGAATTTGCCTACAGTTTTACCTTGAAAATGATGAACATCTGCGTCTCTGTTGGTAGTTACGTAGCAACTGGAAAATTTTGTAATCATTTGCATTGTTTAGTTTTCAGACGTTTTCATAAATTCGAAAAGCATATTTTTTATTGGATTTACGAACTACAAATCGATTAGAAATACTTATCAAGAAACTATTTTTATTCACGTCTTCCCCAATTTCTGAACGGGATTTGTTAAGTTTTACATGAACACGCATATGTTGTGATTTATCTCTTCTTTGTTGTTATATCTGAGAGCTCATATACATTTTACAATAAAAATAAATAATTTGGAGTAACAGTAATTTTTAGACCTATTTAGTACACAAAAAACATCTCTTAGGAAAGTTAGAAATTAGCTAGGAGGAGAAGGAAGGATAAAAATTACCTAAGAGTTTAGTAAATCCACCATAAAGATTTGAAAAATGACTTGGATTGTCCAACCCACAGGCCACATGTGGCCCAGGACAGACATAAGTACGTCTTTAAAATGTACAGATTCATTTTTCTGAGGGAAAAGAAATTCCAGTTTTATAGTCCAGGTACAACGCTCGCTTTTACTCCAGTTGCCGAAGTGCACGCACACGAACTCAATGATTCGCTGCTCGTCAGTCCTCTATAGTTGTATGACCTAACTTATTTCCATAGATAGATCGCTGAAAGATAGAAATTTAACTTGAGTTCGAACCCAGGTGAACGGCTGCATGGAAAGTTTTCGTAATTATCTCATTAATTATGGGAATAAGAGGGAATTCCCTTAGAAAAATCCTCTAAGAAGGCATCTTTTCCCTTAGGCAGATAGCCCTATTTGCTTTGCGTATCTAAACGACTTAAGCGATAGTCTCATAGATAGATAGTCTCCTCACCGTGATATATTGAAAATTTACATAGCTGATCGCTACATATTCATTCGAGAATTAGTAATCTGAGATTAATTCATATCTTTAAAAAGAACTGAACAGAAACAAGATAATCAAAGAGATGAAATAAAGGATACATGAAAGTGA